GGGGGGGGTGGGGGGGGGGCCAAGGGTAGGGGCTGTTCACCAACGAACTTTCCAAAATGTGAAGTTTCTTTTTTGAAATATTTTCAAGCTTCTAGCAAAAGTGCAAGAATACTATAAAGAGCTCTCACATACTCTTTACCCAGATTCTCCAAAATTGCTATCTCTAATCTAGCAATCATGTGTCTATCCATCATCTATCTAGCTATATAACATCTATCTAGCTACTCATCCATTGTCTATCGCCCATCTATGAACCCTCCATCTATCATCGTCCTGGCATCCACTGTCTATTATCTATTAATCTATCCGTCGTCCGTCATTCCATTGTCTGTCTTTCTATCTCTCTCTCACCTGTGAATAATCTATCTATCCGTTATCCATCCGTCAACCCACTGTCTGTCTCTCTATCATCTGTCTGTCTGTGTATCCACCATCATCCATCCATCCATCCATCCATCTCCCATCATCCATCCATCCATCCATCCATCCATTATCTATCAGCTATCTATGAACCCTATCAATCTATCATCACCTATCGTCTTCCACGCATCCGCTTATCCTTATATCCACTGCCCGTCTGTCTGTCCATCCATCCATTCATATCTATCACCTTCTTTCTGAGCTTTCTTGAGAGTGACCTGCAGGCATCAAGCCTCTACACCCCTAAAATACTCCAACGCCCACTTCTCCAGACACGGGCTTTCGCCTGCATGGACCCGGCACCGTCACCCATGTCAGAAACCCTTCCCCCTGACACACTCTTACTGGTCTACAGAGCGTGTCCATGTATGCCCATGGTCCCAGTGAAGCTCGCCAGAGTGAGGTTGCTTTTGCTGCTCCCAGCTCTGGCCCAGGACCCCACATGGCCACCGGCCGTCCTGGCTCCTCAGTTCCCGTTCATCTGGGCCAGTCACTCAGGCCTTCCTTGCCTTTATGACATTGACTTTTTGAAAAAGTTGAGTAAAACTTAGGTAACATGCAATTCACCATTTCAAGTGTCCAACTCAGCAGCCTTAGTGCATTCGCCAGATTGGGCCACCACAACCTCTATTTCTTTTTTTTTTTTTTTTT